CCCCAAAACCCCAAAACCCCGCCAGGCTTATATTACTTTGAAAAGTTTTTAATATTTCATGAGAAATTCATATTCGAAACCTAAAATTCTATTATCAATTATTTATATATTTTATTTGACTTTAACTTCCATAATGAATTCTTTCAAACAACTCATTGTAATATTTCATCTATTATATTATGTTTAAGTGCTGTTCAGGTAACAGTGAAGACATCAATAATGGCGAACTTACTCATGCAGTACCTCATAGGAAAAAAGTATAGATATTTTAGATTTTAACATTTGCAAAGTGATCAGGATCTAGAACTCATAAATCACGAAGCAAAAAGGAAAAGAGAGCTGATTCGAATAATGCTACCTCAGCTGAGGAAAAAAACAATTCCAAAGACAAGTAGCGAAGCAGAGATATCATAAAAGAAAAAAACTACGAAGAAGATTAGCATTTGAAAGCAAAGTCCAACTCAGAAGAGTTAAAGAAAGATGAATCTACAGCTGATCAAAGTAGCGCATAAGTTATCAAAAAACAACAACAACAATAGATTGAATAAGCAAGCGCATAGCCACTTGATCATAAGGATTCTAAAATTCATCAATAATCAAATAGACAGCAAAAGCAATAAAGTTCAGCGCAGTAATATGCAGATGAAGAAGTGAAAGAAGATGATCATACTAAAAATAATAGAAGGGAGGAAAAGTTATAATAGTAATAATCTTTTCAGTCTTAGTAAAATAATAATTTGATAATTCAACAGAAAGAGGAAAGAAGAAGAATAATGCTTGAAAAGGCTCCAATACTTGAAATTAAGCTTGTGGAAGGTAATGGATTGAAAAATAAGGAAATTTTGAAAGTAAATGCTATGGGCCTAGTAAACAGCCAAAGAGAGGACTGTGAAGATCATTATGTGTATTTTGGTTCAGCAGCCGAGATGAATGGAAAGATAGTTAATGATGTGATATGCCAAAAAGAAGATCAATTTGCGGAGCAGCATTTTTACATAAGATATGATAAATGTAAAATATTTGAAAATCTCATATTAATATAGACAAAAATTGCTACTTTTTAAAAGATCTTGGATTGGGTACAGGAACTTTCCTAAGGGTTTCTAATTCATAACACAGTGTAAGTTTTTTATTCATGCTTTCGTTTTATAATTTGAGTTAATAGTAATTAAGAAACGGTTAAATTATCATTTTCGGGGAGAATTAAATGGTTATTGGAATAACGCATGGGAAAAATAAAGATAAAGAGTTAGATTAATTCTATTCAAAAGATAATTAGCAAGTTCAATTATCTTCACGAAACGACATCATTTTCCTGAAATTTATTGATGGTCCAAATAAAAACAAGCAATTGTATTTTTATCATCTCATTTTAAATATTGTTTTAGTGAGTTTAAAAGCTCAAATGCACCCTTAATGATAGGCAGAACAGATAAATGCAAAGTAAAGTTTACTGATACATCGTTAAGTCGATATCAGTGTATCCTAGATTTCATAGATGATAAATGGCTTATTAGGGATGGGGATGGTACTAAAGGTAGTACAAACGGTACCTGGATCTTCGCTGAGGAAGAGGTTAAACTTGAAGGTACAGAAGCTATTATAAAGGCTGGTCTGTCTATTTTTAAGATTGATATGGTTAATTGAGGATGATCATGATTAACAGTAGATGTATAGTCTCAAACTACACTCATAATCGCTCATCATTAATATCTGTATTGATTATTTTTATTTAGTTTTAGTTTTGCGATATAATTAATTTTGCTCTTCGCTAATTCCTATCAAATTTGCACTTATGGGGTTTTGGGGTTTTGGGGTTTTGGGG